ATGCTGGCAATTCAGATATGCCAAAGAGAAGCCATGAAGTGCCTCCTTTAAGTGAAAAGGTGAAAGTTCTCAATAAGGAAAGAAAAAAAATCTTATGCTGAACTTTATGAAGTTCATCCTAGGAAGAGCTTTATCATAAGTATGTATGTATGGGAAAAAACCATAATATACAGGGTTCCATACTGTCCACAGTTTCAGACATCCACTTGGGGTCTTGGAATGTATACCCCCCACAGATAAGGGAGGGACTACTATATATGCATTATAGTTTCTCCTCATACTCACCAGCACTTGGTATTGTCTGTCTTTTTTTTTTTTTTTTTTTTGAGATAGAGTCTCGCTTTGTTGCCCAGGCTAGAGTGAGTGCCGTGGCATCCGCCTAGCTCACAGCAACCTCAATTTCCGGGGCTCAAGCAATCCTGCTGCCTCAGCCTCCTAAGTAGATGGGACTACAGGCATACGCCACCATGCCCGGCTAATTTTTTCTATATATATTAGTTGGCAAATTAATTTCTTTCTATTTATAGTAGAGACGGGGTCCTCTCTCTTGCTCAGGCTGGTTTCGAACTCCTGACCTCGAGCAATCCACCCACCTCGGCCTCCCAGAGTGCTAGGATTACAGGTGTGAGCCACCAAGACCAGCCTGACTTTTTGATTATAGCCAGACTAGCAAGTTTAAAGGGTGGTTTTAATTTGAATGTCCCTGCTGACACTGAAATCTTGTTCATATTTCTATTATATGTTATTCTTATGTCTTCTTTTGAGAAATGTCTGTTTCAAGTCTTTTGCTATCGTTTTAGTGGTGTTGTATTTTTATTATTGAGTTGTAAGAGTTCTTTGTACAGTCTAGATAAAAGTTCTTTATCAGACATATGACTTACAAATATTTTCTAAATCTGTCATTTGTCTTTTCACTTTTTCATAGAGTTTTTGAAGCACAAGTTTTTATATTTTGATTATCTAGTTAATGAATATGTTCTTTTATTTGTTCTATTATATTTGAGGTTATATTTAAGAACTCTTTACTCTCTGATATGAAGATTTTCTCCTATGTTTTCTTCTAGAAGATTTTATACTTCTACCTTTTTAAATTAAGATTATGGTCCATTTGGAATTAATATTCATAAATGAAGTAGCTAAGGGACTCTTAGCTTATTTTCTTTTCTCTTGTTTTGAATATCTTATTGCCGCAGAACCAGTTGTTGAAGACAGCCTTTCCCAATTGAACTGACTTGGAACATTAGTCAGAAATCAGTTTATCATCAATGTGTCAATTATTTTTTAATTCTGCTTGGATTGAGTTTAGCTTGATCTTCTTTTTCTACTTTCCTAAGATGAACACTTACATGATTGATTGGAGACCTTCTTTCTTTTCTGACATAGGCATTTAAAGCTATAAATTTTCTTCTAAGGATTGCTTTAGTGACATCTCATAAACTTTGATACGTTGTGCTTTCATTTTCATGCATTCCTTGGCTTTTCTCAGCAGGTTCACAATTATCTACATATGGATCTCTTTGTAATATTCTAATCTATGTTTGTTCAGTTCATTAAATATGTAGATTGATATTTCTCAATGAATTTGGGAAACTTGGGCCATTAAGTTTTCAGGCATTTTCCTGACTTTTTTTCTTTTTCCTCCTTCTGGGATTCCCATTACATACATGTTGGTATGCTTGATGTTATCTGGAAGGTCCCTGAGTTCTATTGAATTTTTCTTCAGTTTTTATCGGATTAGAAAATTTCCATCAGTCTTTCTTCAAGTTTGTGGATTCTTCCTTCTGCCATTTTGAATATTTTATTTTTTTAATTTTTTTTTATTTTAGCGTATTATGGGGGTACAAGTATTAAGGTTACGTATATTGCCCATGCCCCCTACCCCCTTGAGTCAGAGCCTCAAGCGTGACCATCCCCCAGACGTTGCACATCTCACTCATTGTGTTTGTATATACCCATCCCCCCCGACACTCCGCTAGTGACTATTTCATTACACTTACTAAGCTTTTCTACTCCAGAATTTCTTTTTTTTAATTTGTTCTTTTTTTTTTTATCATTTCTGTTTTCTTCCTAAGAATCTCTATTTATTGATTTATCATTGTCATACTTCCCTTTGATTTTTTTTCTGTCATTCTTTAAACATATTTATAATAGTTGCTTTGATGTTTTTGTCTGATAAATGCAGTTTGGAGACACTCAGATATAGTTTATTTCAACTGTTATTTTTTCCTGAGAATGGTCACAGTTTCCTTTTCATTGAATGCCTTATAGTATTTTGTCATTGTGTTGAAAAATATTTTGCTGAAAGTATAGCAATTCTGGATTCTGATTTTTTTCCCAAAAGGTTGCTCTTGTTGGTCTTTATTTGTTAACTAAATTTTCTGTGCTAAATCTGTATGCCCTGGGATGAATGGTTACTTTTGTTTTCTCTCAGTTTTGTGTTTTTTGTTTGGCTTCGTTTGTTTGTTTGTTTGTTTGTTTGTTTGTTTGTTTGTTTTGTGCTCAATTCTTGCTATTCTTTCTAAGCCTAGCTTCTTAGGAGTCACCCAGGTCTACAGAGCTCAGTGGTAGCCAGTGATTAGACAGAGGATCACACACAAGCACATGGATTACGACTTCCATCCTCTGCCAAATGGACATATACATGGGCTGAGTCTGGGCCATTTTCAGGTCTTCCCCAGCTTTCATTTTCCACTGAGTCCTTTCATGCTCTCTCTGCGTATGCTCACGGCTCAGTATGATCGGCTAGCTTGTGCTCTCTTGGGTCTCCTCTGTGCGCGAACGCAGCCTTACCCAGGCACATGCTTGCCACAACAGTGACCCCAGCCCTGTGCTGTCAGAGCAGCTGGCCCCTTCTGCTCACCTGCTGCTGAATTTGACACTTTTGCACCAATGCCACTGGGCATGACTGTGACTCCCCACTACAAGTTAAGTGAGCTCCTTTCAACTGGGTAGCTTTGCAGCCAGTCCTCATGGCCTGACCCACCCTGGCAGAACCCACACACCCATCAAACTGAGTGTTGGGAGGTGGGGGAGGAACAGAAGCAGCTCCAGGCAAGAGCACCTCTGCTGTTTTCTGAGTTTTGCAGTATTTCAACTGTGAACGCTTCTCTATTTCCTGTATGCCTTTGGTCATTTCCACAGTGGCGAGATGGTTAGTTTTGTCCATTTTCCCAAGGTTTTTAGGTGCTTTTCAGGAGAAGCTTTATTGACTTCCTCACTTATAAAATATGTAAAAAAATATATAAAATATGTAAATTTATTTAGTCCTAAATAAAGCGAGACCCTTAATTAAAACATAACAATACATATTCCCTTTTAAAATAATGTAAAGAATAAAGTATTGTTATGTTTTAATTAAGGGTTTCGCTTTATTTAGGACTCCCAAGTAATTCCAAGGCACATCAACTCATTGTGGTTTAAGTGCTGTTGGCCTGGCAGGTGGAAGGTGAGTCTGGGAACAAGAAGACTTTATATGACCATCTTCCTCAAGCTTCTTTCAAGCCGAGAACGAGCAGTTTAACCACCTCGTGTCTCTATGATTTACAGCACTTTAATAGGCTGGAAAGTAAAGTCTTCCAGCCACTATATCTTTATCTATTTATTTTACTACAAATTCAACCTGAACGGTATGACATTTATGAGGTTAAGGTGTAGAACACAATCTTTTCTTACGATGCTCAACCAACTTTTCTCCTGTACCAAACTTGTTCTGGGCTATAATCCAGGTAGCTATCCTCATAAGAAAACAAAAAAAAAGTCCTCTTTCTATATATTATCTCACAGATTAAAGCAGCAGTTGAGGCCAGCTGCTGGATTTACCTGTGACCTGATTGCATCCCTACCCTGCAACCTTGGTCTTCTCACAGAGCTCTTTTTCTTATGTCCCTTCCCAGACTGTGAAAATAATGCATGCTTTTTATAAAAAATTGGAAAGGACAAAAATTAAAACTCATCTATCCTTCAGACTATTCAGTAACATTGATGTGGACAGCTTAGTGTGTTTCCTTCTAGTTGTGTGTTATGTGTGTGTAGTTTCACATCACTGTGACAGTACCGCCTATATTATTTATATCCTGCTTTTAAAAAGTATAATGTAAAAATTATAAAGTGAATTCAAGTTTATTATCGAAATGTTGGAATATCCAGAAAAATTTTGTAGAAGTCATGTGGTTATTTTCTACTACTTACTCTCATTTGCATGTATATATTTGGTTCTTTTAAATTTTATCAAATGTGATCTGATGATATATAAAGTTCTTATTCATTATATATTTGCTTTTACTTTATGGCATTTGCATTTTCTATGTTGTTATAAACTATATATATAGGAACATGATTTTAATTGGATACAAGATATTTTAAGGAAATATAATATCAGTTTAACCTTTATTTCAGATATTTAGCTTTCTTTTGTAATTTTTAGAGAAGAAATCTACATAATGAATAGTAGATACTATTTACTCTGAATAGAATGATGGGGCCGAATGTAGGAATAACAAGACTCATGAGACATCGATGCAGAATGGTCAGACTATGGTGGCAGCTCCATGGTGACCGTCTGGCACCTCCCTCAGCTGTAGGAAGCCCTCACTCACACCTGGTGAGGCAGTTTTTAAAAAAATACCTCGATTCAATTATTTGTACCAAAGCTCCACATTATCTGCAGTTAAAAAATATATTCAAGCTTGACAGCAAAGAGATGGAGGAGAAATAGCAATTGATAATAATTCTAAGTCTGTGTAAGTTTTTGTGTTTTTTTTGATACGTAAGTGAAATGCATTTGGATAGATTAGCAGGTGATAGATTATTGTTTAAAGGTTTTCTTCCTCCAAGAAGTAAAGACTTTAAAATAGCAGTTTATTAACCTAAATCTTTTGAGGATGAAGCATATGTTTAATCTTCCATTTAAAATGTTATGCAAATATATCATAATTTTAATGAAATAGTTTATTACATTGGGAATGAAATACCTTTTCTCCTCACTCTTCCCCACCCTGTAGGATCTGAAGAAGCTGAAGAAAAACAAGACAGTGAAAAGCCACTTTTAGAACTCTGAGTACTACTTTAGTTACAGTAAGTGTTTGAAGTGAAACTGTAACAACAGAGTAGTTAAGTACGGAGATATCCTTGAATAGATTGAAAGCAAAATTCAAAGAATTAGAGCGTAGGTATATAGCTATATTTGTCTTATTTACATGAACTTTTCAGTCATATCTTATTAATGTAAAATTTTTTAACATTTTCTGAATAGGTATAAATTTGTAAAGTTTTAGAAATCCCCAGAATCTCAAATTCTAAAGAATAAAGATAAATTCATATTCATTTACTTAACCAGAATGTCTGCATGGCTGACATTGTTTTAATGACAAGTATGAACCTACCTATGCTAAGAGGACAGCAGTCCTGTGAGTTGCGGGTTCTGTCACCTCCTCCCTTTACCCTTGAGACAGCAGACACACAGAGTGGGCAACTTGCGCAAGGTCGCACACATACAAGTGACAGAGCTGGGGCTCGGACCCACCCAGTCAGGTACCAGGGGCCGCTCCAGCCCTGCGCCAGGCTGTCTCTCAAGGGTTTTGGAGCGTCTAACACATACACAGCAGTAGCACTCCATGTGCTTCAAGGGGACACACTGTTAAATCCCTTTCAATCATCAAAGGAAATCATTCAGCCTCATAAATACGAGGCACGGAAACATAAAGTAATTTGTAGTAGCAGCAACTCTGCCTAATTATTTAACCACAGAAGGAAGAAGGAATTGATGGATTGTAAATCGCTAGGAAGCCGGGACAGGGGCCGACTGGAGGCAAAGGCAGCTGAGGTCCTAGCTCACTGGCCCCTGTTCCTGCCCCGCAGCTCCCAACGCCCCGCAGCCGGCTCTCCACGACACTGGTGTAGACTCCAGGCAAAAAAAGAAATGTGGGCCTGCCGGTAGTTGATCCTGTTCTAGTGCTTTAAAATAAATGCTGGTGTGGCCACAACCACAGTCCTCATGTGTCTCTATCACAGCCCGTCTTCAGTGCACAGACTGTGCTGTAACGTGTAAGCCAAGTGGAGAATTTTGCCTTTTAACACTATTTCTTAAACATTTTGTCTTCATTGTTTTTCTCAGTGTGAAAGACTCTCACAGAAAGTCATCTGAGGAAGAAAAGACTGGCGCTGGGGTCTCTCTGTTAAAGGTTGAGACGGTGACATCCACCGCTGACTTATTGAATAATAAAGAATTTATTTATTGTAATACCTCACAGACATTGTACCATATCCATACACATTTACTCGCCCGCGTGTGGCCGGTAAGATAACATAATGATCTCTCCTCTATTTGTGAGACTGATGTGTTAATGAATAGGTGAAGAAAGTCTTGTGCTGTATTCCTAATCAAAAGACTTCTTAATATATTGAAATAACGCTTTTTTAGTAAGCGCAATACCTTTTTATTTCGATTCACAGAATGGAATTTTTTGTTTTGTGTCTCAGATTCATTTTGTATTTCTTTTTTAACACCATACATTTCCCTTGTGTTTTTTTAACTCATGCACTTGTGTTCTTTGTATAATTTTAAAAAGTAATAAAATGCAACATATCAAAATGTTTAGTTTTATTTTTCATGTTTTGCATTATGTATTCGGCCTAAAGTTTTGGAATTATGAAAGGGGAACAGGGAAGGATTGTGAATACATGTAAAATGGCACCAGACATTTGTATTATTTTTATCATAAATCGTGTTTTCTCTGACAGATTGTTCTAAAATGTTCCAAGTACTCTTCTTTAGAACCCAAAAATGACTGAAACCATTGCTACCATTATTTTCTTCATGTTTAGCCAATTTGAATTAAAATGAACTAGAATACATTGTGACCTATTTTTCTCAAACATGAATATTTGCCTTCATGATTAATAGGAAGTCAGCATGTCTCTTAGTATTTTTTCATCATTCATTGTGCCATTTAAGAAAAAATTGCCCGTAGTGGTGACGATGCTAGTATGGACAGAAACTGACCTTTTGTGCAAATCAAGTCACCTCCATCACTGCTTGTTCTAAGAGTGGGTCACATCTCAGCAGTGCAGTGGGCAGGGGGGCCTCCCTGGAAGGCTGGGGTCCCGCCAGGAGGAGCTTCTCCCTGAAGACAAAGGTCAAGGAAAATCTGCAAGATCTGCCCTTGGGACTGAAACATTAGGAACTCAGTGTGTCGTATCAGTGAGAGTCTCCTGTCTCGGTTCTGGAGGCGCATACACGCCAAGCCCACAGATGACGCCCAAGCTGGACATCAGGTGTTAATTTCACCCGAAAAAGAGCTGGCACCCAGACATGCTGGGTTGCACCAGGATGCTGCCAGTCCTCATAGGAAGCCAAGGCTCACTCTCAGTTAGCTCTGTAAGCACAGACCCAGGGTAATGAGGTGTAGCATTTGAATACATCATGGAGTGACTGTGAGAGCCTACAGGATTATTTAAACAAAGGAGTTATACTTCCCTCTGGGGTTGATAGATTCAGCCAATGGGCCTGGCACTCACTGGGTACCATACCTGGGTGGGTATGGCGGGGAGGGGGGGACATTTGCTTTTTATGCTCACATTGCTGAACAAGCTTCTTCAAGTTGACCCCAGTCACTCATTTATCTGATATTAAGGTCCTCTTTAAGCCTTGCTCAGGTTGGGACTCTAAAGTCATTTTGTCTTTGTAGAGGGACTTACTATGATTCGTTATATGACACTCAGTTACACAGTAGGACTCAGGGCTTCCATATCCCTAGGTCCCTGTGGGACAGAAGCACATCACTGTTGCCCACATGCATCCTTCTGATTTCAAGATTGTTCTTTTTCTTAGCACCAAAGGAGGCAAGTGAGGCTTTATTGTTCTCTGCTGCACCCCTTTTAATAAAATGATTCATTCTGTACAATTTGGATTTAGTCAAAAGTCTGAATTTAAGGACCTATAAGGCCACAAGTGGCTCTAAGGCTTCAGGTTCCCCACTTCTGATAGGTTCATGAGCATGGATGTTGGGTCACCTTGTTTCCATCAAGGAAAGGAAACCAGAAAGTACTAGCATCTGTTAAACCAAATACCTTGGAAAAGCACAGACACTTGGCGGGATGTCAGGGATCATGTCACTGCTGCAAGATGTCCTCTGCCTCTAAGAACAGTGTCCTGGGAGTGGACCCAACAGTCCTGGGCATTACATTCCCAGCTCACACGGTAGCTAACGAGCTTGAACATCAATTCGAGGATCCCACCCTACCCACAGCATGCAGTATGTTTGATAGCAATCTCATATGTGTGAAGAGGGATATTTTCTTTCCTTTAGCTGTGGCATTTTGAAAGCGAGCAAAGTTGGTTGTGGTTTAACTGCCCCTATTTTCTGACACCATAGCATGGCCTCAACCAGTAGGGGCCGGTTTGACTTTGAGTATTTTCCACGAATCAACCGCATTTGACAGAGCATGTAAACAAAAGAAGCCTGAGAAAATAAAACACCACCAGCCACACCAGCGCCCTCCTGCCACCTACTCTGCCTCCCCCTCCACCACCACCGGCTGCCTTCCTACACTGCCCACGTTCAGGGCAGCCCAGGCTGACTTGGGGAAGGAAGTTGCTAAGAAGTTGGAAACCACAGGAGACATTGCCTGGTACCTCGGCCAGTGATATCAGCCCCACAAAGCTCTTAGGGGTTCAAGTGTCCTCTCTTTGTTTCTGTGTTTCCCAATGCAGAAACCCAAGCCCCTAACTAGAGGCCAATGCCTGCCCTCAAGAGGTCTGCTCAATTCATGAGAATCAAGGACTAGATCTAAATTAACTTTAGTCTTTCTTAAGTCTGGTTGGTCTTATTTTGTTTTCAAATAGAAACTTCTACTTGGTTTCCGAAAGAACCTGCTTCACAGAAATGAGCTTATTTTAAACAAGCAAAAGACCTTCCAATGTTAAATAAGACACCAATATATAACAGTTTCTTACTTTAAAAGGATTCTTTAGAAAATAGAAAAATACATAATCACGTTTTTACTCACCTATTATATATAGAACATTTTGTTTTATGTCTTTGCAGAAATACACAAACACATACAAATGAGTGTCATGCTTGTATTATTATTCAATAGAAAAAATAGTCAAAGGACAGGCACAGATATTTCACAGAAAAAGAAATATAAATAGACCTTAAAGATGTTTATCTTCATCCATAGAGCAGAGCGAATTAAAACCACAATGAGATACTATTTTTGCTGGCAGATTAGTGAAATGCTGACATTAGGCAGCATGCTCTCAGCTCTCACATATAGTGTGGGAGAAGAACAAAATCAGGGCTATCTCTATATAGGGCAAGTTGACAAAGCCTATCAAAATCACCAATGCACATGTTCAAATGACATAAAAACAGTATTATTTATTTCAGCATTTTTATAACAGCAAAAGATTGGAAATGTACCTAAGAGCTGAATATTTTCACCAGTGAACTATCCCATAGCTCTCTGTCTCTATATACTGACATAAAAAGAGCCTTAGGATTTATAAATGAAAAGAGAAGTGCATAGTAATGCATACTGCATAGTATCTGTATAAGGGAAACGAGAATATAGATTCATGTACATATATGTTGACATATATGTACATTCATATTTACATTAATAAAAATTGGAATGCTTTTGAACCATGGAAATGTTCAAATGTATTTATCTAGCATATGTATTTATCTAGCATTTTAATAAGATCATATTATGCATATTATGTTTCAACACCATGGCCTGGATATTTTCTATTTCCTTAAAAAATCTACATCTTTTGAAGAGGCATATTAGTCTATTATATGGCATTATTGATTGATTGATTGATTGAGACGAGAGTCTTCCTCTGTTGCCTGGGTTAGAGTGCCCTTGCCTCAGCCTAGCTCACATCAACCTCAAACTCCTGGGCTCAAGCAATCCTCCTGCCTCAGCCTCCTGAGTAACTGGGACTACAGGCATGTGCCACCATGCCCGGCTCATTTTTTCTCTATATATTTTTAGTTGTCCAGCTAATTTATTTCTATTTTTAGTAGAGATGGGGGTCTCACTCTTGCTCAGGCTGGTCTTGAACTCCTGACCTCGAGCAATCCTCCCACCTGGGCCTCTCAGAGTGCTAGGATTACAGGGGTGAGCCACCGAGACCTGCCTTTTTTTTTTATTAGTTTCTGATTGGACATTTGGGTTAATTTGTGGCTGTTTGAAATAGTGCTATAGTGAGTAAACATCCCTGCACATAAATCTTTTGTTTCCTTTGGAAACTGATGGATCGAATGGTAGGAATACTTCCCAGGTGAGGTGTGTTCCACACATGCGCAGTGTGCTCTGTGCCGGCTCCTCCACACATGCCCAGTGTGCTCTGTGCCGGCTCCTCCACACATGGCGCAGGTGTGCTCTGTGCCGGCTCCTCACACATGCGCAGTGTGCTCTGTGCCGGCTCCTCACACCGCAGAGCTGGGCTCAAGCGCTGTTTCCTTTACTTGCAGGCCTCAACCCTGGCTGCACATAAGAATGACTAAGGGTCTTTACCAAAGTCCTGGTGTCTGGCCTGTGATAAAGGCTCCTAAAGGACAGCCCTGGGTAGACAGTGAAGGCAGCCAGTCTGAAGTCGAACAGTCCTGGAGTCATACGGACTCACTCAGTGCTTAACTCCGGCATATTTTTTAACCTCCCTGATTTTCTTATCTGTGAAACCAGCGTAATGCCTGCAAGGTGATGCAGTTGAGAGCTTTAGAGAGAAAGAATGCAAACTGCTTAGAATTCCTGATACTAAGTGCTAGGTACTTGCTATTACTCAAACAAAACAGAAAAAGCAAACAAAGAAAAAAATATCACCTAGCAAAACATGATGGAAACTTTGCATTTACTCAGATAAGCTTTCAAGGCTAATGAAGATGTTGAGATTCCAGCTGTTAGGCTGAATTATATCATATAAGGTGCAGTACCTCAAGTTATCTCTTATTACTTAGAATTTCTAATTGGCAGTTCTGTAGTGACCTTAATTGTGGCCTTCTTGATAGACAAAAAACCTTCAGATAAATGAAGTCCATGAGGAAAGGAATTCCCAAGCGGTGGAGAGGATGCGAGGATGCATAATTGGGAAAATTTTAACTGTTGTGTTGAAGTTTCTCTTTTATTATAGTTGAGAAGTATGTGGGGCTTTTAAAAAATATCTTTCTTTCCTTTTCCTTTCTTTCTATATTCCCTTTTTTCTTTCTTTCTATTTTTTTTTCTTTCTTTCTTTTTTGAAGTTGAGAAGTGTATAAAGTATTCTAACTCTATAATGACTATGGATACATGAGTGTGTGTATGTGTGTATGTGGAACCGTATAAATCGTTGCCTAATTCTTCCATTGCACATCTGTGGATGTGGCCTGATATTTGGGTATTTATTTCGTGTTCTGGGGATTGAATCACAGAAGCCTGTTGGTAACAGGAGGCCAGTGTAAAACGTCCTCCTAGCATGGACTGTCGTGGGCAGGGGGCCTATGAGCCTCAATTGCACAACCAGCGTCGGAGCAGGGAAGGGGACCCTGGGCAGGGGAAGGGCAGTTCTCGGCACCAGCTCCCAGCCTGATAAGGAAGGACATTTTCCTGCTTTCATTGAAAGTAAAAGGGACCTGTTTCCACTCTAGGAGCAAATAACAGAGAAGTTAAGAGCAGAGCTCCTAAAGCCAGGCTGCTTCGGTTCATGCCCAGCCCTGTTTCCTAAGAGCTGTGGGGAAGTTCCCTAGCCCTCTCTGCCTCAGTTTCTCCATCTATAGGACGGAGATAATTATACATATCTCATAGGGTTCCTGTGAGAATTATATGAGTTAGCAGGTACTTAGACCAGTGCATGGGCCACAGTGAGCACTATACAAGTGACTGCTATTATTACTTCATTAGGATGTTAATGACACTGAACTCAGTAACTTTAGGTAGAAATCTGAAATTATTTCATTTGAACATATTCCTCTAAAGGCGGATAAACTTAGGCAAAGTGAGATGGTTAAGAACAAGTGGCACAGCTATGTAGAGACAGACCAAGCAGCCCTGACTGTAACTAGCCCTGAAGTGTGACTTCTGGGCCAGTCTTTCTCCCACCACATTGTGTGGCCTCCATACATGTGGCCGTCGTGCTGTGGTGGAAAAGTGCGGGACCATGAGGGGTGCATAACCTACCTCCTGTCTCAGAAATGCACCTGCGTACTCCACAGTCTCCCCTGGGGTGAATCTGGGGACCTCCGGGCCTCTTTAGCCTGTGGGAGGAGCTGGCAGAGGCTCCACGGGCACAGAGAGCAGCATTAGCGGTGCTGCTGTGCGGGGACGTGCAGCCCATGTCATTAGCTCCCCGTGAAGAGCAGGAGCAAGTCTAAGGCAGAATTTCTATCCTGTTTGGAGATATTATGGTCACTCCAGAGTAGGTCACAGTTTTATCCCAAGAGGAAAGACAAACGTGGAATTAATGAAACACCAGCAGCCTGCTATATATATGAAGGGGAAACATAGATGTACCTACATGCCATTAAGAAAATTCTCAGTGACTCCTTGCAGGATGCCTGCAGTAAAGAAGCAATGCATGTCTTCGTTTCATTTTGTTTTCCCAATTGAAAGTGGTGGAAAGGAAAGACACATGATACTGGGTATGTGTGCATGTATGTGTGTGTGTGTGTGTGTGTGTTTGTATAAACTCTGGGTTCAGAGAGACCTGGCTTTAAATTATGTCTATTATGGCTGAGCATGGTGGCATGCACCTGTAGTCCCAGCTACTAGGGAGGCTGAGGTGGGAGAATCCCTTAAACCCAAGAGCTGGAGGTTGTAGTGAGCTATGGTGACACCACTGCACTCCAGCCTGGGCAACAGAGCAAGAGCCTGTCTCCAAAAATAAAAACGTAAAAATATTACTTAAAAAATAGTTACATAATCAAGTAGGGAAATTACCTACCTTAAATTACCTACTTTAGATTACCTAATCAAGGTAGGCAGATTAACTCGTAATCTCTCTGCGCTATAAACTGAAGGGCTCCTGGAGGACTCACGATTGCCCGGTGTGTGGCAGAAACTCACTGATCCTTTTCCATCCCACCTCACCTCTCTGCAGAGAGGTAAGAATAGAGACCCCTGTCAGCGCTGTGTGTGCGCGTGTGGCATCTACTGTTTATGAAGCCGAGCTGCCAACAGTACAAGTCAATGCTCCTGAGGACTGGCGTGCACCAAGCGTTATTAACTCGTCTAATCCACACGGCAACTCCAGGAGACAGGGCACTGTAACTCCACTTTACATGAGGAAATTATGGCTCATGGAGTTCAGGAAACTTTCCTGAGGTCACAGAGATTCTAACACCAGACCCAGGACTCAAACCCAGGCACTCCAGGACCCGTGTGACCCGTGTGCATGTGCCTAACCCCTCAGCCACGCTGTCTTCCTGGTGTTCGTGCAGCTCTCACGGGGATAAGGTGAGGATCAGGAAACACGATGCCGGGGAAACACGGGTGCAAAGCTGCACACACAGTGCGAGTCTCATTAGATGGGACCCTGTTGCCACCGGAATGTCCCAAACCAATTACATCTGAATCTGGTGGCCTTTAAAAGAAAAACAACTTGGCTACTTAGTTTGGCTGTGACTTCTCTTAGAAATAGTGCCCCAAGGGAATTCATAACCACTATCTCAGGGAAAGAATGAGAAATGTGGTATCAGACCATTAATACAAGCAACACATAATTTCATAGCCCGATTGCTATGCTGCTTCTTACCTTAGACTTTCAATTCAATTGCATCAAATTAAAGTACACACAGACAAAAGTAGACTTTTGATTTTTTTAAAATTTATTGTGCCTATTATAAAAAATAAAGCACAGAATTCCAGCACAAAGAAGGCTGCTTCAGGGCGTGTAAAGGGAAGGCTTTCTGGCAGTTAACTGGCTGTAGGGCACTAAGGGGTGAGGCTGGGAGCTACAAGCTGTCTACACTGAGGCTGGGATGACCTGGGCTGGCTGGAGGCGCTGGTGGAGAAAGTGGAGAGAGTTGTGCTCAAGGCTGCCCTGGGCAACACACTGTCGTTGTTACAGGATGACGTTTTCTGTTTGCCTATTGGTTTGAAAAACCACCACAAAATAATGACATAATAGAATAATACACATGGAAATATAGCCCAAATCCAGAAAGCAAACCCAGCTAGATTCTCAGCAGACATTTTTCGGGACAATGGAAAAAAAAAAAAAAACACAAAAATAAGATGACCTGATGACCCCTTTCTGCCAACATCTGTTAGGATCTCTTCCCACTGGAGCAGACAGTTGTTCTTCTGACCAAAGAGAAGGCGATGATACCAAAATAGACCATGCTCTTGAGGAACAGGAGGAGGTAGGTGTAGTACGCAGAGGTATTTGTGAGCTGCAGCCACAGGGCATCTAAGAAAAGCCATTGAATTAGTTTCACTGTTCTTTTGGCAGGCTGGGACATACTAATGAGGAGGGGTCCCCAGGTATTTATTTCTGATGATCTACATTGAAGTGTGATCCCACCACCAGCCTAATCTAAAAGTAACCATCTACCACTACCATCAACACCACCACCAAAAGCAAGACAACTCATCATTCAGCTTGCAAGCTGATTAACAACCTCTGCTGAATTCACTTAGCACATTACAAAATATTAAAAAGTAAGGTTACATTTTAAGTGAATGGGTTCAATGGTGAATAAAAGTATTAATCTTTATAACAATCTATGAGAGAGAGAGAGAGAGAGAGAGAGAGAGAGAGAGAGAGAGAGAGAGAAACAGACATTATGTTCATCCCCATTTGCAAAGAAAGAAAGGGAGGACACTGAGGGAATTTGCCTGAGGACATACTTTTAGCAAATCTGTGCCAGATTTCAACTCATGTAACCTGACTTTAAAGAACAGAACATATTTCATCTACTCTGTAATTGCAAGTGCAATAAACACCCTGGACATCAAAAGGTTAAGCATAAACAAAGTTGATTACTGATATGAAAGTATCAGAGCCATTACACATTACGCATATGAAGAGAATTCTAGGACAATCCATGGAACTTTGTGGTGTTTACAGCAACACGAGTGGATGGTTTAATAAAGAGGGCATTATAAAAAATAGAATAAAGTGGTTAATCCACATTCTCTGAGCTGTTTGGTGGTTGTGGCACACTCACTTGTCCTTCCTAAATGTCTCTCATTGTGGCTGTGACATTGGGTAACTGCACTTAATATCCTTTGTAGTTTTGCAAGAAATATGTGATGTCAAGGAGTAAGTAAAGGCTACTCAGTGAGCCACAAAGCTGAGTGTCTTCCTGTGGAAATTTCCATTTTACATGTTCTGTCACCATAGGATCACCTAATTCAGGAACATTGGGCCTTGGTGTGGAAAGGTATCTCAAGAAGTGATGTGTTTGTAACTCCCTGTGCTTAGTCAATTGAAGTATTATTGCCGCCCCACCTTGCCAAGTGTGGCAGCTGAAATCCAGAGTCCCCCCCCCCCCCCCGAGACTGGGGACAGAGCAAACTTGAGCAGGGCTGGAGCCAATGCTTCTAGTCACATGCTTTGTGCATAGACAGGGAGAAAGGGCTAGAAACCAGCACTGATTCTGTGCCTGCTAAATGAGATACTCTGTGTCAAACCTTTCACATCTGTGCTATTATCGCTTCAATAACTGCGAGTTTGGTGTAGTTATTCTCAGTTGGAAGATGAGAGAAGCATGACTCACAAAATGTAAGTCACTTACCCATATTCATGCAACTAATCATCAAAAGGTCTAAGGTTAAATTCCAGTCTGTAGTCTCTGAAGCCCATGTACCTGCCCAACCCCATATTATATCCATGGCGCCTCAGGGCCCTGGCTTTGGAATTTATTGCTATGTGACTATATTGTAGAGAAGGGATAGAGAACTTAATTAGTGTATGAACACTTCTTTTCTTGGCCTGATTTAAAACTCCAGATCTAACTATGTGACATGTGTAAAGGACTTAAATAATTTTAGCTCACTGCCCTCATCTGTAAAATGGAAAAAAAATATTGTACCACCTGATAGCAATGTTATGAAGATTAAAAAAGAAAATGCATGTACAATACAGCCCAACACCTCTGTATAAAAAGCACTTGATAAGTCAGTAAGTACTAGTTCATATTATTAGCAAGGACCAAAGACCAAAAAGAAAAAAAAATGTCTAGAAGCATGTTTTCCGCAGACATTAGAAACAAAAAAGAGACACAAATGATTTGTTAAACTAGTTCGGAGCATATGGCTGTACCCTCTAATTTACAGTCATCTCATATCAAAACCAGTAGTTTTATGTGTTAATATGATTCGTAGGTAATGTTGGACTAATTTAAAATGTCATACTCCATCTATTGTGCAACATCCAGCCATTCTAATTTTTTTAAGCCAGGAAGTTCAAAAGATGATCAGGAGGGGGAAAAACACAAACACTTACCCTTTCCATCTTTCAAACAAGGAATATCAGTGACAACTAGAAGAAAAGAGAGCAAGTACTAGTCAATCGTCCATGTCCATTATTTGACAGGATGCATATGTGTGTGTATATATATGTGTGTGTATATAAAATATATATATTAATATGTGTACATAAAAATCTGTCAACAGAGAGACAGGAGGACATTCATTAAAAATATGAGCCCCACCATTCCTGAAATAATTGGTCAGATTCTATGTAATTCAGTAGTTCTTATTCATATATTAGGTTTCTGCACATTAAGATGTTGAAGATCATGAAAGATACATTTTTTTTTCTTTTCTCTCACAACTGGAGTATAATATCCAAGACCATCTGGTTTTCCTAGTGAACGCATAGCTCCTAGCACAGTGCCTGCAGCAAAGTAAATTTTCAATAAATACTTGTTCAATGGAAAGATGAAAAGGACAAATGTGAGCTTTACAATCTTCAGCATACACTGTGATATGAAGTATTGCTACCAAAAAAATTGTTAAATACCTAGAATCTACAGCAGAATCTTACATGTTTGAAGGAGTCTGCTTCAGGCAAATTTCTTGTCTAAGCAGAGGAAAGCAGCCATACTTTTCCAAATCATGCACCTTCCCAACATCCCCGCATTATACACATGTCTCTGGACATGCAACAATATTAATAAAAGCTAGTACCCACTGAGCGATCATTACTGGGCCAGACACTATGTTGAATTCTTCTCATGCAATATCTTGTCTTATTCTCCAATAATACTTAAGTGAGTTGCATTGTGGATGGCCCCATGTTATCGATGAGAAATGAGGTTTAAAGAGTGTGGGTAACTTGCCACGAGCCAGACCAGTGAACGGCAGAGCCAGGGCTCCAAGGGTAATTGTGGGTGATTAAAATAAATAGGACATGCAGGAGTACTGTGTAAAAATAACCCATAGAGGAAGATAGAAAATGAGTTATAGAGAGAATTCGACCACTGTGTACTAAGAAAATCTCTTCTAGTGTCTTAATTATTCTCAGCAAATGGCCTGGTTTTTCATAGGAGCCTGGCATTTCAGCGCAATTGTTTCTGGGGATAGAAAGAATTGAATAAATCCTGTCTGAAGGAATCCTAAGGGTTAAAGTTGAATTTATGTACGATGTTTAAAAAGAAAAACAATAAAAGGGAAACACACATGCAGACTTAAACAGAAGAAAACACAATCTAGTTCTTTTTGTACTAGATGTGTTCTTGTCCATGTAAATATGATTCTGGTATTTTATACACTCAACAATTAATGAGATCTTTTTTGTGTGTGTATTCTAAAAAATGGATTTAAAATATAGGTTTTAGATAAGTTCTAAGAATGAAAATGTTAATACAACCATGAATTTATGTTCAAACGTCTTCAAGACTGACTTTAGTAGGTCTTAATAGTGTTTTTCTTTGCCCCATGGTTACTTTAATCATTAAAAATTAAATTAAAATGACTTATCTCCATGAACTGATTCACGAGGTAAATACAATAATCATTCCTCATAATAAAATTTATACATGTATCCTAAATTATCTCTTTCAATCATGATCGGTCCCAAACATGGAGCAGATTAGTTTTATCTCCTTTCCAAATCACCTCATTGAATATATAACATGATCACTTCCATGTTCTATTTTTAACTTTTATCAGAAAAAAAAAAAACCCCATCCAGGAAACAACATTAGAAATCTTCCATAGAATTACATTAACAAAAGTGTCCTCCTTAGCTCTGATGCCATGAGAAGCCCCTGAAAGACACATATTTTAGAATTTAGTGCCAAGCAAGACACATTACAAAACTGGAACTTCTCTCTTGTATTATATTCATTACCCTCAGTCTTACCATGCTTTTTGTTTTTCCCTAACCAGAAAAATCAGAACCTCCTTGGACAATTAAGCACAGTGGCTATGCTAACTTTGCACTTTGCACCTTTGCCTCCTTTGTTTCTAAGCAATAGAAATAGAAAATCAGGGCTGTTTTTGTAATCTTACTTTAGTTTTAGGAAAGGCCGTGAATGAACACGCTACATCGGCGAATGAACACATCCATGCTGTATTTCCTAAATCAAGCATTTTCCTTGACATCGTTTCCTCTGCTCTCTCTCACTGTCGCAGGAGGAAGTCAAGGCAATGGTTCAACCCACATTTGATCGCTGCAGAAACTACAGATTCAAGAGGGCAAAGGCTCACTCGAGAAATATGGACTGGTGCAAGGCAAAGCTCTTCCCATGTTTTGTTATGTGCTTGTCCTCGCTGGTTAAAAAGGGCTTACTAAGCACAGGGAAAAGTACAAAACAAGTTCTTTTCATGGCCACTGTGGGGACTTGGGACTGTTACATTCCTACTCAGAGCTTTGACACACAGTGAGAGACTTGATCACAGCCTAGGGCACATCCAGCACAGCTGTCTAGATACCCACACATCTGCACCCAAGGGGCTCCTTCGGGATATCATGCCTGAATCACGAGTGACCTGAGTGATCAGGAAAAGAGTACGTTCTCTTCACTGTAGTGCCGCCTCCTAGGGACAGTAACTCACTCATCCTATTCCTCCACGTTTCCAGTAAGCTAGCGTACACTAGTATTACAATAAATGTTCACTGAGCTGCATTCACCAATGGCAAGAAATACATTCATTATGGAGAAGCGAGGTATGTTTGCACACACCAGTCTCACCAATCTTTAATTATGAAATTAAAATTAAGAAAGTTTATCTTATGGTGGTATATGAAATAAAAATCTGGAAAACTCAATGCCGTAAATGCTCTGGCTCCTCCAGATCAACGCCATTTTGCCTGTTATGAATTCGTTGTCTGTAGGTTAAACATCGTGTGTAGAAAGATTGAGAGGAGCGACTGTATTTGCCTGATACAACATCCCTGAAAAAATGTATAATTGTTCTTATTTCCCACACAAGTTAAGTCATCAAAAATGCAAACTCTTTTTGAGCACTTACCATGTGTGAGGTTGCTAGGTGCTTTCATGTATATTGTTTCATTTAATCCATATAACAATCCTTAAAAAATCATGCGGGTTTAATATTTTAGATGATAAAACTGAAGCTGAGAAAGCTTCAGTAAATGTTTCAATTTTTTTTTTCTCCAAAGCCTATACCATTTTAATTCTAGAGGGAAATAGCAGGGCATATATGTTTCCATTTAATGTAACAACATTTAAGAAAGATTGATATTTGTTTTTCATTAATACTGACAAAAGGTGGGGTATTTACTTTCAAATAAGTATTCTGGGAGGTTGCATTTATATTTATATATGCATACCTTTCTTTACTGGAGGAAAGAGAATCTCTTGATCAGCTCCTCCTTTGTTATTCTCGTGTTTGACGACACATAGGTGCTCTTTGTCCAGTGACGTTTCAGGCACAGTTAGCCAGCTAAATTTCATATATGTATCATTAGTCTTCATGGTATCTCCCTGCTGGGATTCCAGGATCTTATCACTGTCCTTTTCTTTCCAATATACCTTAATAACATCAGGGAAAAAATTCTCAAGAAGACAAAGGTGTGTTCCAGCCTTATGGAGATTTGTTTCAGCAATTGAAGGAAGAAAAATAGTGGGCTTCGGGGACACATCTGCATCATGGATTTTATCTGTGAGGGGGAAATGGAATATCAATTAAAAAGAATTATTAGAGAAACGCACACATTGCATTGTTTGGACTCACCTTGTGCCTAACAAAAGGAAGAAAAGTTGCCACTGGATTAGCACTCATGGTGTCCTTTCATCTGCAGTAGATTGCAAAGATATCATTGTGTTTATTTTACAGACGTGAAAATAGGAACAAGAAATGAAGTAACTTGTCAAAAGTCACAGCCCTCAAGTGTCAGATCCTGGATTCAAACCTAGCCTTTGTTCACTCTGTACATGCTGTGATGGAGTATGATTTTGTTTTTGTTTTTGTTTTTGGTGGGGTTTTTTTCCATTTTTTTTTTAAATTTCAGCATCTTATGGGGGTACAAACGTTAAGGTGTACCCCCTTGAGTCAGAGCTTCAAGCGTGACCATGCCCCAAACATTGGAGTATGATTTTGAATTGCCTCATGCCGAGGCCTCCAACATCCATGAGCACACTTACTTTTTGAAATCTCTTTTGTTTCATCACAGTGGAGCATGCTTTCAAGGTGGATGGCAGGGGGAGAAGGGAGAAGACCCTTAATAACTTAGTAACTTTAATAATCTCGCCACAAATGACAATCTGGTTCCATCTGAAGCACTTTCTTTCCCATCCTTTGTAACTTATGTTCTCTTTGACCAATAACACACATTCTCATGTTCTGCAATTCTGTGTAACTCCACTCTTCATTTAACTGATTCTCAAAAGCACCATATTTATTTCATGTATAAATTAATGTCAGAAGGAAGTTTTCCATTTTTATTTTTAATAATATGCAGTCACTTCTTTTAGTGGGAATCTGCTTCCACGTGCACTTACAATCTATCAAGCTGACTATTCAGCTTCACATGTGTATCCCTTGACCAGTTCTAAACTCCATGGAGTTCTCCTAGTTAATTCCTAACTTGATATGACACCTCCTATCTGTACCACTCCAGGTTTTTGGATGGAGCAGTATTTTAAAGCTGCACCTTGAAATTATGCATGATGTAATGAGTTTAGAAGCAAAATAACAATATTTCTGAAACTTCCATTAACAATTTTACTTTTTATTTTCATAATTGGTCTTGTGTTAATCTTATCAAATAATTCACTTGCTAAAACATTATTTTTTTTGCTTCAGGAAAAAAAAAAAACTTCACCAAAAGCACATTTTATTTAAGAATTTCATCTGAAGTTTAAGCATGTCTAAGAATACACCAGGGATGTATTCTTTATACTTGCTTGAATATGAATTTACACCATTAGTGAATGGTCTATGTATATCAGCATATCCATATTTTGACTCTCAGTGTCTCTCCCAGAATTTGTATCTACCATGTTAGTCTATTTAACTATGTTGGAGCGTCATTATTCTTTTCATCTTAACCTGCTGAATAAAGTGTACATGTAATCCGTGTAATGTTAAAAGTGATGGTTCCAGAGTTCTTCCTAGACATATTGCCAAAATCCATAATAACGCATCATATGTTTATGAAGACATACCACTTGAATCTGGAATATTAATTAATTATACATTTATTTTTAATCTAATATCTGAAATTATAAATGTTCAAACTCTTTCTAATTTGATTTCCAATTAAAACTAAAGTGCTTTGGGCTAGTTTGAAGTCAGTTTAATAATACAAGAGGCCATTTATTAAGAAAAGAAGAATTGGATTTCTCATTTGAGAAGAAAAGGGGAAGAAAGTCTTGATGGTTTATGCCTGTGCAGCAAAGCTTCTAATTTTCATACAAAATCAGCAAACATATACAGCAATATTAATTTTTTGCACATGTTACATTATTAGGTCAGAATGTGTTTATTTTAATTTCATACATTTTGCTTTTAGTGTAAATAGTATTTTATTTATTATAGTAGTAAGACAGTGTATATTTCTCCAACAGCATACTCTTTTTTAATTTAAAAAGCCTGTTAAATAATGAAAAATAATATTAATTTTTCAATTATACATTATATTTATATGAGTTTAGTCTCTAGTCAATATACTAACCAATTTAACTTTTATCTTAACAACTTATATTTCTTCATGGTCATATGTTTGATTCATTGTACTAAAGAAATTGAAAATCAAATGAAGAAGATGGAAATTTTCTGTGCAGTAGCACAGCATTCATTGCCTTTTGTCCCTTTTCCTTAGCTAGAGACTTTGTTTCATTTTTTACAGGATGAAATGAGTTTCGGGCTTTCATAACTTTCTCAATGTAATAGTTGACTAGGCATTAAATAGCGTACTTGATTACATTACTTGATTACATTTCTTGATTAGTGTCTAGATCATTATATTACATGATTTTATAAAACATTACTTGTAAAATGTACTTATTACAAATGTTTTTCATGGTTAAAATTTTCATCATGATGCATAGAATGATAAATAGAATGACAATCACTCTCTTTATTTAAAGAATAAATAGAATTTACATATTTAATTTATTTAAAAATATAAACCTGTACAATTTATTTATGTATATTCATTTGCATGATCAATTAGTACCTTTGAACAAATTACCTAAGTTGTTTGTATTTTATTGAAATGAAGCAGTATGAATTCGATATAAATTTACCAAATATCAACTACCTTTTCAACTAAAAATATAATATTTTAGATCCACATATAGGTATTTATATATGTTCTTTATCATTTTCTTCTTTCAAAAAATAGTTATAGCTATTTAATATTTGAATATGTATTTCAGGTTTATGACAAGTTTCCAACTATATTTAAATGATTTTACATATTGGCCATTTTCTGTATGAATTTAAACTTTTTTTCAATAAATCTGACCAGAAGCCTAAATGTAATGACTATAAATTATAGAATCAACAAATGTTAGTGTTAGAGATGATATCAATTAAGATAAAGGATGAAAATTTAAAGCAGATAGAACAACAAAAATAAAACATAAACATTTTAATGTAATTTTTCTTGCCAAGTAATGAAAAAGTCTGCTAAAGAGAAAGACATACATGCCTCTAAATTTCAATTTTTTTTTTTTTATGGAGTGACAGGGTATCTCTAGTGTCCAGGCTAGTCTCAAATTCCTGGCCTCAAATGATCCTCCTACCTTTGCCTCCAAAAGCCTAGGATTGCAGAGTGAACCACTGTGCCTGGCCTAAATTTCTTTCTTTCTTTCTTTCTTTTTTGTATGTGAATGGATGTTAAGATAACCTTCTATTTGATCAGGTAGAAGTACAGCTGAATCGACATGAGAATTTCTGCTCTGTAATGTTATTAGCTGAAAATAACTCTCCATAGTGGATATATGATGCAATTTTCTGTTTACATTTGAATCTGGAGAACATTTCTTAGGCACCTACTATGTGCTGCACAATGTGCCACGTACTTTGTCCACACTATCTCATTCAATTCTCTTCTCATACAACCCTGCTGGCTCATGCTGCTATCCCATTTTATGGATTAGAAAACTGAGGCCAGAGATTAATTGTCCAAGTTAACTAAGCAGTAAGTGGTGGAGCTGGAGCACCAGGTCTGCCTGACTCCAACTCTTAGGCTCTTTCAAAACACCTTCTCTGTGACCAACAGAGAAGGACATGTGTCCACTCTTTTGCATCTATCACAAAGTTACCTGTAATAATAAACTTTGACCCAGGACCAAATACTGTAATGATATCATTATATATATATATATGTAGTATATGAACATGTTAGAGAATCCACATGTACACAAAGCCAAATCCTATTACAATATTGCACAACATTGTCTATGTTTTCCTTTAGTATAACATTTGTTTTAAAATCTCTCCTAAGATTTCCACACCAAATCCCCATCACACTGCACTTTTCTGTAAACGTTCCAATTCAATCATTTTTTGCCTTCCCTCTATTACCTTAGAAATATATTCTTCCAATACCTACCTGTGACAACAAGTGCTGTTCCATTACTGAAGAGTTTCCTATAAAAATTCCACTGTGATTCAATCCATATCAAAAACGTTAGACTAATTTGGTTTCCTTGAGTTCTTCAAATCCCAGTGGCAATATGAAAGCCTGGATTTGCAAGAGACCAGGGTTCTGGTCCTGGTTCACTTTGCTTATAAGAAGTTCTGTTGCTGAACAAATCAAATAACTTAAAGCTTTTGGTGTTCTATTTATCTAAAAATAATGGTGTGCATGTAAATCAATTCAACATCACTACCAGCACTGAATGAAGTGAGGCCAAAATGAAATAAGATATCAAAAGCAATTTGATTAACAATGCTATAGAAATATAAGAGGTGATGATGATGATGGTGATCATTATCATTGTTATTATTAGCAATGTGTTTGCTATGATTGGGTTCCAACATGACATTTTAATATCGTAGGCCCAAATCTCTTACCAATAGAAATCCAGCACTTTAAAGTTGCAGTTAGACCCATGGCAATTAAGCAGGAAGAATAATTTCTCAGTCTCTCCATTTGTATTCCGTTTTGCCCTAACATGCCTGGGATTCTCAAATATTGTCTCAGGATACCTGCCTTTCACACAGCCAGACTCTAATAGGCTACCATCTGTCTTACCTGCCATGCTAAAACAATTAAGGAAGCATCTGTTAAAGTCTGATATCCTAAGCCAGTGTATGGAAATGCTTCCCTTGTGTTGTCTAAAACAAACATCTCTTTTCCTGATTACCAGCAAGACATATTTACATTCCACGCTTTCACTGGAAATTTCAGCTCTAACTGACTTCTCTCCAGCTCATGCCAAAGTCCAGGTTGAAACTCCTGACTGGGCCCTTCCAGGCAGAATGGCCAGAGAAATGGCAGGAATCCTGGTCCTCAAATCCCTCTTCCTGTCGTCACCTTACATCACTAAATGTTATCTGCATGACCTTATCTGCCGAGTGTCCCCATCTGTTGATGACATTAAGTTCTACAATGCCCATAGCACTCATGCAGCGGGAACATACATTTGTTTAAAAAATATTTCTTACATTTTCCAAAATGAATGCTGAAGGCAATGTCCACTTTTCACTTTCATCCTTAAAAATATCATGCATTGAAGTATTTTTCTGATTTTATAAAGGGGAGAACATCACATTTGAAAATTTGATGTGCTTCCTTTTATCAGTTAATAAAAAGTATGTATTCTACTTTCTTTTTATCCTACCTTGGGTAATAAAATTTTACCTTGTGCTTCTTGCTGGATAATTATAGGACTTATTTCTTCTCCTTTCCTTAGAGCTTTTCATCTTCTATTTTTATTTAGTGGTTTAACTATACTTATTTTCTTTATTTTAGATCTTCTCAAATAGGCAACTTAAACAAACAATAAATAGTTTGTGCACTGTAGCGTGTTTCTCTTTCTCAGTCCCAGAGGCTGACTGTTTTGGGACACCTGGCTCAGGTAAGATATTACCTGACTGAGTACAATGTGGTACCACATTTTCCAGAAGAAGTACCTGGAATTTTTTAAAAAGATTTTTTTAAAATCTTTAAAAAAAAAGATTTTAAAAAATCTTTTTTTAAAAGATTTTTAAGTCTTTTAAAAAAGAAACAGGAACAGAGAATACTGTTGCAAATCCAAGCTCTGGGATAGAGGCATAGACATGCCCAGTTTAAATAGGCCAGAAGTGCCAAAATGTAGGATGAGGGTTTCTTTCCCAAACTGATCCCTCACAATACAGAGATTGCCTTATGGTCCAGTCTTTGTGTAATCTCTCATTTTAGAAGTTGTTGATCTAACACTCAGCTTTGATCCAAAAATACCACCTGGACAAGATATCAACATAAAATAAACTCAGGTAATGCTAGTTTGGGAGATAGCACTGGTAAAAGAAAAAAAAAAAGGAATTCAAAATGGATTTGGTAATTATTGCTTGGGGCTAAGGCCCCTGCAGTTTATTCTTAGTTGGCCCATATATAAAATAACAGAGTAAATGATAAAAAATACTTTCCTTTTATGTCATGAGTGGATAATTGTTTCCTGGGATCCAGGGACATCATCATATAGGGATTCCAAAATGGGTGTTCAGACTTGAGATGACCTAGAAAGTTGCTCTAAGGTAAATGTTTTAGATCCGTGTGAAGAGTCTGAACAAGATTTTCAATGAAATATAAAGACAAAAAAGAAATATTTCTCAACTTATAGTTGATATAATTTTTAACTTTGTAGGTATAATCCAGTTATGAAATTAAATATTATAAGTAGATATTTGGCTGTTTAAACTAGATCCCTCTAAGTTTATATATTCAAGTTGGGGGAAAAAAAATCTTTTTAAAAAATTCCAGATACTTCTTCTGGAAAATGTGGTACCACATTGTACTCAGTCAGGTAATATCTGAGATAATGCATATTACATTCTAATTATTATCAGAAACACATATAATTAGTCTTAGTAATATTTATAGAAAGTGACATACAATAAATAGTGACATTTGTTCTGAAGTAAGCGGTAGATTAGATGGTGGTTAATACCTTTATCTGTATCCCTAAGTTTATAAAGACCTCGAATGATCGGCAATTGGAATTCTAGAGAAGGAATTAATATTTCCATCACCTACCAAATGCCATTGTGGTAGGTAACTTCCACATTTAATTTCATTTAAGTCTTACAACATCTCCTTAAGATAAACAATCTTTATTATTTCCATTGTACAGATCAAGTAGAAATCAGAAGTTTGAAAACTTGCTCAGTTATTGATTAATATTAAGTACATGAAGAGAATGTTCATGAAGTAGTGTGAAGTGAAAAAAAAAAAAACCAGATCCATTATTGTCTGTCTAATATGATCCCAAATTTGTAAAACAAAAATAGGCATAGATAAAATGATTGAATAAAAATATAACAAAATGATAATGAGTGCCAAGATTATATTTTAACTTTTTTACTTTGGTGTATTTTCCCACTTTTCTATAATGAGCCAACATTTTTATAATTTTAATAAAGCAACAATTGGTTAATCAAAATGTACTTGCTAAAGGGCAGTGACATGGAAAGGAGTAGCCCCAGGAGCTATATCCAGAATCAAAGCCCATACATTTGCTGCACCGTGTTTTCCTAAAAATCACTTCTCAGAGGACTGAAGAACAGTATCAGTGTCACCTTTATTCAATGGGATGGCTGCAATTCACATCGAGTCAATTAGAGAAAGGAGGGTCATGAAGTCACTTTTCAGTTTATGAGTTCATTTCTTCAAATGATCTCCACCACTAAGGAAACCTAAATAAATAAGCTCTTTCATTTTTTTCAATGCTTTATCAGCTTTGTGACAATTCTCTGAAAACTTTCATTTCCATAGACGTAATAGGCTAGGGATATCTTTGTAAGGCATTCATCCTCACCCACCCAAAAGTGTATCTTTAAGGATAATGAGGAATAAGCAAACTTAATGGACTGAATTAAAAAAAAAAACAATAAATAAACACAGCGTATGTCATTCCTGAATATTGCCACACAGTGAAATATTCTGACATTTAATATTAGCCAGTCTGTTACCAAATGGCTAAATATTTAATCCTTCTGTGACCAAATGACAAGTTTAGCAGATAATTTTTTCCATTTTTTCCATTGGTTATTTTTAGATTAGAATAAATGAAATATCTAACCTAACCCTGTTTACAACACTTTCAAAAGAAAGACCCAGATGGATGGGAGAGTCCCTCCCTTAGGGATCTGCAGTGACTCTAAGCTCCCTGTTAAGGTCTCCTGTGCTACAGCAGGAAGAGTCCAGCCTCCTAAGACCGGGACCAAGTCACTGCACCTCTCTGGAGATCCCACCGTGATTGGTGACCAAGCCAGGAGGGAGTTGTGAGCCAGCAGCCGCATGCCTGCCTTCCCTCTGTACTGTACACTGCAGAAGTTACAGAAAACATACCTGTGACGATGAGCTTTGTGCCAGTGCTGAACACCTTTCTTTTTTGGTAAGTCGTCAGCCCACCACCTTACAAGCCTTTATAAAAATCTCTCTTTGTGCTTGCTTTAAAATTGTGCGGATATTTTTGTCAATGTGTATATAAATACATAAAAATTGGCCCTGATGACATTAAGCCAAGACACAGCTCAGACAAAATCACAATACAAGAATAGATCTGAATACAATCAGGAATTTAAGAACTGACCTCACTCTGCCTGCAAGTTTGGGTTCTATCTGTTCTCTGCTTCCATCACACACGTGATGGAAGGGTCTGCTTTTATCTTTTCTCATGATTTTGCCTAAATCTTCTTGATCTCCTCCCTTAAAAGGTTTTCATGTATAAAATAAGTTCTTTGTCTAGAGTGTAATTTAGAGTAAATTAATATTTTGACAATTTTCAAAGAGAAACAGGGGTCCCGTGTTTGAACATTTAATAAATGTATAATCGATATGATTTGTAGATTCTTATTTTGATTCGTATGTATGGAGGAATGACTATGTGGACTGATTATAATGTAAAAATTCTTTGTGAAGTCACTATCCACAATGGGCAACTTCCCATTAATAGTAGACCAGATGAGTTGTTACGGAATTTGAATTCTTAATGATGATCTCTTAAGCTATTTACTCATTATTGCTGAAACACAGCTCCTTTTTTGACTTGAAAATACCCTTACAGCTTCCAGAGCATTGAATTGAAATCCTAAGTTGCTCATCAGAGGATCCTAGGCAGCTCTGAGTTATGCAATTACTAGTGCGATTTAGTACAGCTATATTAGCTCATTTACCAGCTTCAGTATTTCTGCATATTTGATACCAGTACAGAAATAAAATTGAGTGGAATGGTGTCCAAATGACTCATCATTCAACAGAAATACCCTAAGAATTATATTTTAAGTATTTAATAAATACATATTCAATATGAATTTTATGATTTTTTTGGAGGGGAAAGATGTAATTTCAGTGCTATAATTAGAAGCCGAAGCATTGTGTTCATTTATAAGTAGTAATACAAATTGTGAGCAGTTACTAATTAAAATAGTCAGTTAAAGAATAT